CTTCAGTGAGCTTGGGTGAAGGTCAATGGAATTTCAGCCCGTTTTATTTACTTGGCTCACTTTAGAGGAGGGAGGGAGACGGGATTTGGAAATGCTTATGCAGCCTGCACTGTTTGTACGATGCTGGCACAGAGCTGGTGACACTTCTGTAGCCTTGGGGGCTCACAAGTGTGAATCAGAGGCTGTTTTTCCCTATTGATGCTCCTATAAAAATCTGTAAATATTGGGAAGTCCCTGCTCATAGCTTTTCTATGTTGCTCTGCCAGTTCATCTGCCAAAACCTTCCCCTTGATCCAGCCCAGCCCTGCCTGGCTCTGCAGGAGGAAGGCAGCTCAGCCACCAGTCTCTCCCTGCCTGGGCTGCATGGCGTGGAGGCAGGAGCCAGCAGTGCCACCCACGTGCCCTTCTGACTGCTCGACTGCCAGAGTGGTGCTGCGTGTTTCCTGACCTCCTGCAGCTGTCCTTGCACAGCCATGGCTGTCTTCTGCTGCAGCTGCTGCTGGAGGTGTGGTAGGTCCGTGTGTGAGGCTGCTCCCCCCGGGTCAGTGCTGCTGGAAGGAGTTAAACAGAAAACAGCTGCATGGGAGAACTGGTTTGCAGTTCACAGATAATGGAGGCAGGATGCTGTTTTGTTTGTTTGGTATGATTTTCCTTTTTCCACCGCAAAGATCTAATGCCCTTTCTTGTATTTATCAAGCAGGAGGATTTTGCTACAATACATTCTGTATCAGAGAACTCGGGGCTTGTATGTTGCTGACGAGAACAATTGATTTTTATTTATTTGTTTATTTATTGCTGGAGAGAACTGAAGCAGTAAGTTGTAAGGCTTTAGCTTCTCTGGAGGAGCTTTATTTAGAGAAGCAGCCTGATCTTGGTGCTGACACAAGCTCATGCAGCCCTGCACACTGCTGGGGGCTGTGCAGCCGAGTGCTGGATATCTTGCTCCAGTGCCTGGGTCACCTCGAGTCATTCGCAGTCGTAGTCTGAGCTTCTGGCCAGGGCTGGCTGGCATCTCTTGCCCTTGGAGATGCATGGCACTTGGGGCTGGCACAGCACCAGCTCCTTCCCTGCAGGAAAGACGTAAACTGCAGGTTTGGGGCACATCCCAGTCTTCCACCCTGCCCTGTTCCTTCCTGTCTTGTCCTGCTCTGGGGAGCCTCAGGCAATGCCTTTGGTCCCAGGTGACACCCAGAGGTAACAGAGACCTCTGGCTTGTTTGATTGTAGGTGCCAGGTCTCTGGCAAGACAAGCAAGCTGAGCAGAGCCCTGAGAGGAGGTCATCACTGTCCTGATGTGGGTTTGGAAGTGCTTTATGAATCCTTTCGCTGTCTTCTGCCCTGCTTTAGTTAGAGGAGAATTCCTGCTCCTTAGAGGAAAGCAAAGGACCAGCAGTACCTCTGCAGTAACTCTCCCTTCCCTCCTAGTGACAGCCTTTCTCTGCCACTTCTGTCTCCTCAAAACGGTATCCAGAGGGAAACAACTGCATAACCTGCCTGGGCTTCTCTCTCTAGAGGCTGTCATCTTGGCCTTGGGCTTTGTGGCTCTCACAGATCTGCAGTGAAGGGCAAGCAGTAAGGTTCCCTGGGACCTGATCACATCACACCGAGAGTGCTGTACTTGGTTGAGTATTTTGTACTGGCTTTTCTTTTTTTTTTTTTAAAGGTATTACAGTCAGGCTGCTAAGGTAGGTGCAGTGCTGCTAAGGTGGTGATGCCTCCTGCCAGCTGACGTGCCACATCACAGGGTGCTGAGAGGCTGGGCACCCTTTGCTTGTATCATTGTGCTCCCTGCGAAGTGCCTGCTTCCAGGAAGAAGCCCTCCTGTGGGTGGGTGACTTTGCAGGTCACTACAGAGTGGGTTTTGTGAGGAGAACTCCTCTCCTGCAGGGCACTCGGGGAGGTGGCAGGCAATGTTTATCTCAGTTGCGTCTTCTGGGGCTGGAGAGCCTGTGTGTTATCATACAGCAGATGGGTTTGGGGAAGAGATGGTGGAGACAACTGTATTTTCTCACACAGGCTTGTTGCCTGCCAGGAAACGAGCCAGCCAGGCTTTACAGGGAGAAGTAGAGACCCTGGGCAAGCTGTTGAGGGCTCCTCCTTCACTCAGCATCTTTATGAGAGGTAAGTGGAGCCGTGGGATAGTGGCTGCTGCCGTGGTACTCCGAGCATAGGTATGAGGACTGCTGCATGAGGATAGGCCAAGGGCCAGCACCCAGCATTGCCTGTTCAGTTCTGCACCTGCTGTCACGCTGGGACCCTGTGTTTATCATGGTGCTCCAGGCAGGGAGTGGGATTGTTCACCAGCCCTGGGCAGAAACAGGCTGCAGTTGTGCACTGCCAGTTGTCTAGGCTGATGCACCAGTACTGGGCTGGGGACAGCCCAAGATGCCTGTCTGTGTCCCCTTCCATTTCTCTGCATCTCCTACTCGATTGCATTGAAAGCTGTGTGGGTGCTGTGCATGGTGGCAAGATGCGACAGCCTCCTGAGGACAAGGAGACAGGGATGTCCCTACCAGCTTGCCATGCTGGTGGTCCTTCTGCTGCCAGGAAAGTCACAGATGCGTGAGGGAGCAGCAAAAGCAAGAGCTGGCCAAAGACAAGCTTTTCTGGGTGCCGTCAGACTCAAGCAGATGGAAATCCCAGCGTGAGCGGGCTGGTGTTCCTGGAGTGGATGGCATGGAAGGGCAGAGGGGGGACCAGGACAGGGACAGCAATGCCAGGGAGAGGCAGCAGCTCTCTGTGGCTGCTGTCAGAACTTGGGACAGAACACAGGCAGTGCAGCAGCAGGGCAGAGCCCTGCAGTGTTCTGGCTGCTGCATCCTTTCTGCTGCCTGGAGCTCGCATCGCCTGCCTGGCCAAGGGAAGCTGTGCTGTCTTCCCGAGCCTGCATCTCCTTGCTGGAAGCACATCAGGCACTCCTGGCTCATCCCACTGTCCCCTCGTGTTCTGTTGGGTATCCTGATTTTTCCCTTCTCTCTACTGACCCAGGAAAGGGGTGATTTCTTTCTGTTGTCCTTTGCGCAGTGGGAGGAGCTGGAGGGTCCCAACCTGTGGTAAGCAGTGCGGCGTGTGCGGTTAGGGGTCGGTTTGTGAGCCCATGCTTCTTCAGCACTGGATGCTGCAGGATGGATGTGGATGGTGCTGGTTGCTGGCAGCCTTTGCTTGCCTTTTGCTGATGTCTGTAGTTTGATGAGCCTTATCCAGTAAGACAAATGGATGTGACAGGATCACGGTGCCCTTCATGGCCCCTTTTGCTTCCCTGCCTCTGCTGGAGCCAGTCACACAGCTCCTTCCCTTTCTCTGTTTGAAGACTGGTTTCCCTTTCAGACATTTGTGAGCTGCTACAGGGAGAGACTGTGCTCATGGCTGTAGAACTTCAGGCAGAAAAATCAATGTTTATATTTCTTTTAGCTGGGAAAGATTCTTGAAAGAACTCCAGCAAATAAATGCCTTGTAAAGTTCAAACTGTGCAGGCACGGTATATGAACCCAAATGAATTTTCAAGCTCTCTCTTGAAATAAAATGGATTGTTTTGGATTCGGGCTTTATTTAGAGAAATGTTTGATTAAAGAAGGGATTTGAAGGTTGCATCTCCTTGTGAGGGAGAGCTGCTCTGCTACTAGCAGCGAGATGTGGTTGGGAAATGTGGTTGACTGCTTCTGGGAGAGCAGCCCCTGTACCCAGCCATGGGGGGTGGCTTTTGCTGTGTCCCCTCAAGGCCCTGCTGCTGCAATGCAATCAGCTCACCTGCCTTGGGAAGCTGTTTGTGCAGGTCCTGCTGTTCAGGATGCTGAAGGGCAGCTAGCACCACACTCCCTCCACGGAGTGCATCATGAGCATCTTAGAGCTTTCTCTACCTGTCCTCTGTGGTACAACACGTTTTCTCTCCCTTCTTCGTAGTGGTCTGTGCTGTGTGGATGGTGAGCCCCCAGATTCAGGCTGCTGGCTCCTTGCTCTGGGGCAGCCTGAAGTCAGTGTTCCCAGGAAGAGCTAAGGGTGTGGTGTGGACTCGGAGGCTCTGCATTACCTGGTTTGGAGTGTGCTTTGCATTTACCTGCAGGAGAGCTGTTTGGTCTTTGTACAAAGGAGGAGGAAGCAGGAAACTCTGTTTCAGCCCAGTGTGGTTGGACACTTCAGAAAGTGACACGGAGCAGGGGACAAAGGGCACCTGAAGTGCTGCTGTTCTTCCAGTTTCTCATTAGCACGTGTGCAATCAGGGCATTGCCTTCCTGAAAGCACCAGGAGAGTCACAGTGAGGAGAGCTGCTCTCTGTAAGCCCAGGGGCTACCATTGCCTTTGGCGTGTGTTGGGTCTGTTCCTATGTTCAGGTGTCAGGCTTTTCCCTGCAGGTCTGGAGGCTGAAACCAAGGACTGCCAGGGTCTGTGGCCTCTCTACTTCCCAGGTAAGCAGGGGTGCAGCTGGGGCACGGTGCCCATTGGAGTCTGGACACAAAAACCTGCTGCTGCCTGAACTGGGGGGAGTTGGGAACTGCTGAGCCCCTGGAACTGCTAGCTGGTGCTAGCAGAGGAGATCTTGGTTCCTTTCAGCATGGGTACCTGAGGTGAGCCTGGAGGAGAGGAGAGCAGAAAATGCAACAGAGGTGGACTGGAGTGGCTCTGAAAGAGGAATGAACTGATGCTGGGAGCAGAAAAGTGGGCTAGGTATTGCCTAACTGAGGCATGAGCAGTTTTCAGGTGTGAATGCCCGTGCTGGTCAGGTGCCCTGCCCTCCTGCTCTCCTTCCTGGTGCAGCAGAGGGCTCACTGGGGTTGTGGACTGCTTTCTGTGCCCTTCCTAAGGTGTTTTGGGTGGAAGCTGGCACGCTGCTGTGCACTTGCAGAATTATGTTGTCAGTGCCAGAGAAACAAGTTCCTGGAGAGCAATGGCTGGATTGCTGCTTGTTTCCTTCCTGGAAGGTCCTGCCCGTGCCAGCCTGGGGAACACCTGACACCCCCGTGTACCTGCTGGCCCTTTGCTCACTCCATCTTTGCTCTCTTCCAGCCACTCCCACTCTCCTGGCTCCATGGCTGCCGTGCACGAGTGGTCCTGCACCCGCTGCACCTTCCTGAACCCCGTGGGCCAACGGCAGTGCTCCATATGCGAAGCTCCGCGCCAGAAGCCTGACCTCAACCACATCCTGCGGCTCAGCGTGGAGGAGCAGAAGTGGGCCTGTGCCCGCTGCACCTTCAAGAACTTTTTGGGCAAAGAAACATGCGAGGTGTGTGGCTTCACTCCGGAGCCAGGGCCCAGCGGCTCTCCCTTGCCTGTCATCAATGGCATCCTGCCCAAGCCTGCAGTGCTGGTGGAACCCAAGGGCACAGCCAAGGAGGAGGCTGCCAAGGTGGAAAGCAGCAGCGAAGATTCGGAGGGGAAGAGTCCCGACGAAGCAGAGCTGGAGAGCGGCTGGGCTTGCCAGCGCTGCACGCTGCACAACACTCCAGTGGCCAACTCCTGCTCGGCCTGCGGCGGGCCACGCAAACTCTCCCTGCCCAAAATCCCACCAGAGGCGCTGGTCGTCCCTGAGGTCATCACCCCTGCTGGCTTTCACATGGCCCCTTCCACCCCGCAGTCTTTAGTCCCCACCGACATCTCTGATGGTGACGCCGCGGCCACTCAGGGCCCGGTGGCGATGGAACAAGAGGCACAGAAGATGCCGGCCTTCAGCCCCTTTTCCCCCGGGCTGCAGAACAACCCGGTGCCCCGCAGCCGGCGCGAGGTCCCCCCCCAGCTGCAGATGCCGGGGCCCGAAGCACCGCAGCCTGGGGCTCAGGGCGCTGCAGGGCAGAAGGGCTCCCCACAGGGCCAGGCCAGGGCCGCGCCGGCTGCCCGCCTTCAGGAGCTGCTGTCCAACAAGCGGCTGAGCGTGCTGGAGGAGGAGATGGATGTCAGCCCGTCCCACTGGAAGTGCAGCACCTGCTCCCTGCTCAACTCTGCCGGGACCGGTAAATGCGAGGCCTGCAGCACCCAGAAAGGCAGCGACACCATCAATTTGGTGGGGGACTCGGTGAGATTCACCCCCTGTAGCCCCTCCAGCCCTGACTTCACCACCTGGTCCTGTTCTAAGTGCACCCTCAAGAACCCCACCGTGGCCCAAAAGTGCAAAGTCTGCGGTTCCTCCAAGCTGCACGGCTTCCAGGAGCACAGCCCACAGGGTGAGCCATCCCCCCGCTGCCCTGAGTGTGGGGCTGGCGAGAAGGGCAGCTGCTCCTCCTGTGGCACCAAGGCACCCTCTGCTCGCAAGGTCGCCCGTCTCTTCCCATCCCAGCTGCCTGGCACTCAGGAGCGGCTGGGCCAGTGGGCTTGTCCTGCATGCACCCTGCTCAATGAGCTGAAAGCCAAGCACTGCGTGGCCTGCCATACCCCGCAGCAGTACGTGGCCCAGCGCAAGGGACTCAAGCCCCTCAAAAGGAGGGAGAGCATGCACGTGGAAAAGAGGAGGCAGACAGATGAAGGAGAGGCCAAAGCTCTGTGGGAGAACATTGTGACCTTCTGCAGGGAGGTGAGTGTGAGCTGAGTTCCTCTTGCTTCTGATCTCGCTTGGAGAGTGCCCTTGTCACTCCTGCCCTGTGGATCTGGGATGTGGCTTTGCACAAGCAAACTGTCACTGGGACTTTGGGAGTTGCAGAAACATTCACTTGCAGTGGATGCATGCTGGGCAGTAGCACTGAAATGTGTAGTATTTTAAATCAGTGCAAGGTAATTTCTAGGGTGAAGGGGCCTTCCAAGGGTCCTATCCAGTTCACTCTCTGTCCAAAGGTGAGGAAGTGTGAGCATGAAATCTGGCTCATAGCGATTCTTCAAATCAGTGAGAGAGATCAGTGCTGAAGGAGACAGTCCTAGGTGATCAGTCCAATTCTTGACTGTCCAGGAGTTGGGAAGGAGTGCGTGCAGGTTTGCTGGTGACCCCAATGTTTCTGGGCAGCAGCTGCAGTGCAGGTGCAGGAAATCAAGATGCTGCAGGCGGAGCTCAGAGCACTGGCAGGAGTGCAAGCAGAGAACACTTACCTCTGCAGCTGTGTGTGAGCCTGGTGTTCTGAGGGCTTCCAGAGTCCTGCCTTTGTGGCACTGTTTGTCTGTCCTCAGGCTTCTCAGCCTGCAAATATGTTTGCAAATATGCAGCTGTAAGTACCTCACCACATCTGGGGAAGGACAGCAGAGGTTGAGCTTTGTCCTGGTTCCAGGTGAGGGTCTCAGGAACGTATGTGCTTCCCTTCCACTGTGCGCTCTCTGTTTTAATCTGTTGGGTCTCAGTCTCAAAAAGCACTCTCATGGCCCTGTTTTTCCCCCAAGTGGCAGAAGATGCTCCTGCAAATGCTGTTCTTTCTCTGCTCTCCTGCTGGGGTAAGCCTCCAGCTTCTGTGGACCAGATGGAAAGGGAATTGCAGTCCCATTCTGACGCAGAAACAAGATTCTTCCTGCTTGGGCCCAAGGAGTGCTTCCATGCCTGTGTCTGTGCTGCACAGACTGGTCATCATGGAGGTGTTTGACCGAGGAATGAATCACTGAGAATGATTCTGTTTTGGAGTTGTTTTTGTTTTAATTGCTGTGTGTCCTTCCTTAATAGACCTGGGTGTCTTTATAGCAGAGAGACAATGATCCTGCAAGTGAACGATCTCTTCTGTAGGCAGGGAGCATTGCAACGTCCAGTAGAATCAGGCCTGAATTAGGTGAGATGGCCAAGCTGAATTAGCAGCTCTCCGCTGCTAAAAGGGGAAGGTGTCTTCCTCACCTCATCCTGTGCAGCTGTCCCTAAAAGCCTGGGCAGAGGGGATCAGCGTGGGCTGGCTGGTTTGTGGAGCTCCCACAGCAGTGGGATGGTGCTGCTCTCAAAATCCTGCCTTCTCTTCTCCGGACTTCTTGCAGCAGCCCCTGCTCCTCCTGGCCAAGTTGGGATGTCAGGCAGCCTCAGAAGTTCCTCCTTCTGGCTGCTGTGTGTCAGCACTGGAGGGGAGCATCAAGTGGCCAAACCTGCCTGCTGTCCGTGAGTTGTAGGAGCAGCCCGTCTTGCAGCAGAGATTTCTGCCTCCTCTGTTATTCCAGCAGTGCCTTTCTCAGCACTTCTCAGTGCCTGGACCCCATTTTTAGCTTTATCCCCAGCCCCCCATTTTTAACTTAATCTTTACACGTTCATCTGGGAGGAAAGATGGGCTGACCTCTGCCCCTCTGCGCAGGGCTGCTGCTTCCTGCCCCGTGCTGTCCCCTCTCTTGCTCATCCCCCAGTCTTCTGCTTTTCCTCTCCTCTGATTCAGTGTCCTTCCCCTTTCTGCATAACGGTGTGTGTCAGCAGTACAGCGTGTTCTGCAGAGCCAGAAACATGACCCAGGACTCTGCTGTCTGTGCCTGCTCTGGCACCTCTGCCTGCAGAACCATTCTGTTTACAGTCTTATCCCCTTGCAGGACAAACAAGCAGAGCTCCTTGTCTGGCACCATCTAGGAGCAGACTCTCTGCTGCCCTGGCAAGCGTGCAAGGGCCTGGCAAAGTGTCCACCAAATGTCCTGTGCAGCCAGTGCTGCCCAGTCTGTCACATCTCAGGGCTTAGTGGCGTTTGGATGCGTGTGCTCTGAAATGTGCAGTGCCAGCTGCACTTGTGAGCCGTGGATCAGATGCTCTCCTTGAGAATGTGTATCCTGGGGACGTGTCCTCCTTGGCCTGTATTGGTGTTTGAATGGTGACAATTAGCTGCAAAACGCCCTTCTGCAAAACAGGAGTGCTAATTGAGGCACTGTGTAAAAAGGGTTCACATCAGTGAGCTAGAACTGCAGCAGGAGAGGAAGGACAGATATCAGCTTGTTGTGTATAAAAGCTCATTTAAAGCAGAAAGAATTTAATTTCATTTAATTAACAGTAACAAATCCTGGTTCTTACTTCACCCTGTGTTAAAGTGTCCGGAAAAGCCATTTTCCTCCCCTCAGAGAAATTCTGGGCTTCCATCCTACATCTGCAGCTGATACCTACAGGATCATCTGCCTTTCAGTCCATCCTGTTTTATTTTATTCTTTTTATTCTGTGATTATCTGGAGCCCGGGGCTGGGGCTGCAGAGCCAGGACAGCTTAGCGTGGGGCTCATGCTGGGGAGTGTTGGTTGCCAGATGCTCCCTGCAGGCCTGCTGCTCGCCTGCTTCACCGCTTGTAGAGGCAGCCAAGCTTCCCCACCGGCTGACTTTTAGCACCAGTGTGAGGTGTGAGACATTCCCTGCCCAGAAGGTTCCTGTAAAACAGAGAAAGGCAGATTTGAGCTACAGCTGGGAGCCCTGAGGAGGGAACGGGCTTGTGGCTCTCCGGGCTGGAGGCCCTGGGAGCTGCATGTGCCGCACACGCTCATGCTATCCTCGCCTTTTGCTCTTGCAGAACAAAGTCAATTTTGTAGATGACAGTTTTCACCCTGGGCCCAAGTCTGTGGGATTCCCAGAAGGGGACAGCGTGCAGCAGAGGGTGAAGCAGTGGTTGCGGCCCCACGAAATCAACTGTAACATCTTCAAAGACCGATCGGTGAAGTGGTCGGTGTTCCGGACACCCCGACCCTCGGATATCCTTCAGGGACTGCTGGGAAACTGCTGGTAAGGAGGAATTGAGCCGGGTGACCCTTGCTGCTCCTTCCCCCATCACCCAGGTTGGGTTCAGACCCCTCAGCCTTACCCAAGCCCACTTATGTGGGGCCTGTCCTCCACTTCGCCCCTTCCCAAGCACTCCCATTTGCTAGGCAGGGGCATTGCCCCATGCTGCTCACCTCACCCCACTGAGTGCATCCTTATTCCCTGCAGGTTCCTGAGCGCCCTGGCCGTTCTGGCTGAGCGACCAGAGCTGGTGGAAAGGGTGATGATCACACGGACGCTGTGCCCCGAAGGCGCCTACCAGGTGCGGCTGTGCAAGGATGGCACGTGGACCACGGTGCTGGTGGACGACATGCTGCCCTGCGATGAGTGCGGGTACCTCCTCTTCTCACAGGTCAGCAGCTCTGGTGCCCACAGAGGGACTGGGGGAGTGGGCAGCACTCTGGGGAAAGGAGCTTGTCCCCAGTTGTCTGTGCTGTAGGTTACGTGGGGCGCCTTCTGCGGGCTGCACTGAGAGGGCTGATGGGTGCTGTTTGCTGCACCCTGAGGTCAGCTGAGCTCTTTGAGGCCATTGCATAAACCCAACGTAGACCTCCTTTTGGTGTTTTCCATGCTGCAATGGAGAAGTTTATTTTGCAGTTGTTTTTTGCATCGCTCCTCTCTGCATTGCAGGTCAGTTCACTGGCATGGGAGGACATCTTTGCACGCACAGCAAAAGGAAAATTTTTCTGCGTGTTTTTGCACTGAGGGGGCAGAGAGGAGCTGAGCAAAAGCCGTGTCTTTGCTCTGCAGGAAGGTCTGGCAGCTTGGCTTTGCCAGGGAGGGCTGTGGCGAGGGGGGGAATGCACAGAGCAGCCTGTTTGGAGCCAGTGCCCGGTGGCTCTGAGCACACTCAGGTGGCATCTGCTAGGATGAATGAAGCTCCCTGAGCCACTCTGGGACGTCATTGCGCATTCTGCCCTGCTTGCCAGGCCCAGGGGCACTTGCTGGGATCATTTCCATGAAGGAGACTGAGAACGTCTTTATTGAAACTCAGACTGCAGAATCTGTCAGCCAAACCGTGCTGGAGACGGGGAGCTGGGACTGTTGGGTTTGACTTTGTTCTGCAAATCCAAATCCTTTTTACAATACACACAGCTCCAAGCATGCAGACTGTGAGGATGGCACTATGGGGAATCAAGGCCTGGAATTGAACGCTCAGGGAAGCTGCATGCTGGTGCAGCTCACAGAGTCCCCAGCCTGAGCTGCACTCAGCATTTCCTGCAGTGTGAAAGTGCCTGGTGTTGGCTGTTATGGTGGACAGGATCCAGGCAGATGCAGTTCTTTATTTTCAGCGTAGAATTTGCCTTTCTAGATTTCCCTTCCCCTCCCCCCCATTCATCTTCACTCTCTTATCAATTTTGAGTCTGCATTGTTGGTTTTTTTTTTTGAGACTGAAGCTCTTCACAGGCGCTGGGCTTGCCTTGCTGCTGTTTCCAAACGCATCTGAATTGTGATGAGATTTTTCTGCGGGGTGTTCAAGTGTGTGAGCTGCATGTGGGGGCCTAAGAGAGGAAAGCCAAAGAATTTTAAAATGAAAGGAAAATCATGCTTTTGTCAGTGATCAGAGGCCGCATCTCAGCCAGAAATAAACACCATGGATTTTGTTGAGACTCAGAAAGGAACCAGGAAAAAGAATTTGTGAGCTTTCTTCAGTCTTTGCAGCCCTCCTTTCCCCTCCTAACCCTCAGCTGCCACCTGTGAGTCGCACACAACCACACTTTGCACCAGAGCTTTCCCCTGCTGTCCTCCCAGCACAGTGCTGGAGTACCACCAGCACTGGATTTGTTGGGAGACGCAGAAGCCACACCACCTGTCTCCATGACTGCTGTGTTTGTACACTTGCAGCCTTTGCAGCCACGTCTCCTCCCAGGGCTGGACGTGTCCAGGACTGTGGCAAAGCACTGCTGGTGGCTGCTATGCTGTGTTGATGTGTTTACAGAGGCTTCATAAACCAAATACATGCATTAATGCATGTTCTCCATTTCTTTATGGATTCCTGCTCAGTGTGGCTGTGCCAAAAGTTATAGTCTGGCACCACAGCAAGGGGAGTTTTCCCCCTGTGAAAACGCATCTTCTCATTCCATCTCTCCTCTGCCTCTGTGCTGGAGCTAAAGGAGTTTGCCTGTGAGTTTGTGGAGCTTGTCCTTCAGACAGCCTCTGGGTTCCATGTGTGAAATCTGGTCGGTCCTGAAGCTGTGTGTGCTCTAGGCAGCCTCCTCCACCAAAGGTGTGTTGGCTTTTGTTTGCAAGTGTGCAAGTGAAGGCCAGCTGTTCCACATGTGCTCTTATGGAACATTTTGCAGTCTGAACCACTGGGGAAGGAGGTGGGTAGGAACCTCCTTCTGTGTGCCCCAGGCTGGTTGTGTTGGCATCTAAGCACTTGACACGTCAAGAAGAAAAAAGTTTTTTATGATAAGAGTGGTGAAGCAGTGGCACAGGTTGCCTAGAGAGGTGATGGGTGCTCCATCCCTGGAGACATTCAAGGTCAGGCTGGATGGGCTCTGAGCACCTGATGGAGCTGTATGTGTCCCTGCTCATTGCAGGAGAGTGGCACCAAATGGCCTTTAAAGGTCTCTTTCAACTCAGATGGTTCTGAGATTCCCTGATTTTCCCAAGGGGGAGTTGAACCACACAGACAGCATGCTGAGCAGGCAGCAAAGGGTTCATCCCTGGCCTCGTGGGGATGAGCCCCTGGTCCCACCGCCGTTGGGGGCTGGCAGAGGTGGGTGAGCTGGGCTTTGTGAGTGCTTGTCCTGCTTGGAGTGGCTCATGATGTGTTTCTCTTTCCCCAGGCCCAGAGGAAGCAGCTGTGGGTCGCGCTCATTGAGAAGGCCCTGGCCAAGCTTCATGGTTCGTACTTTGCCCTCCAGGCAGGGCGTGCTATTGAAGGCCTGGCTACACTAACTGGTGCCCCCTGCGAGAGCCTGATGCTGCAGGTCAGCTCCACTAACCCTCGCGAGGAGCCCATTGACACTGACCTCATCTGGGCCAAAATGCTGAGTTCTAAGGAGGCTGGGTAAGACGAGGCAGGAGGGGCTGTGGCAGGAGTGTGGAAGTTTGGAGAGGGGGGTGAGGGGGGCAGCTCTCATCTGCAGAGGCTCAGAGGAGGGGAGGGTTAATGCTTGGGGTGGGGCCTCCCACGCTTGGAATTCACCTAAATTGTAGACTGAGCCTCCAAGATGTGAAGTGGTTTTTCCTTTGTTTAATTTTCATATGAAATTAAAATCCTGGTGAACTTTGTGGTTTCTATCTCCCAGAAGTTTAGATTACCAACATCAAGCCTGTAGGGTTGCTTTGCCCATGTGCAGTGTTGGTGTCACAGCTGGGATTTTGCCATATGGGTTGATGCATCCCAGCACATGGTGTCCCCCCAACCTGGCCTGTTCAGCCCCCCCTGTCCCAGATGTGTTGTTCTCTCCGCTGTAGAGCAGCATGCAGTCAGCTGTACAATTTGCCTCTCCACTTGGCCCAGTCTGTGGCAGGACCCGGGGCTCTAGCAGAAAATGAGTGAGGTTTAGACACAGCCAGAGCTTCCAGGCCTGCAAGTGGGAAGCGATGGGATTGGGCAGGGCAAGGATGGCTCTGCACTGTTTGGTGTGATTTGGAAGTCAACCAAGAGCTCTGCTCTGAGGGCACTGCTCAGAGAAGCTCACCGTGGAGCCTGGGCTCAGCACAAACCCCAGAGAATGGAGGAAAGTCACTTCTGTACAGGCAGAGCTGTGCTCAGCAGGACCAGGGCCCTGCTCCAGGGAGGTTTGCTTGTGGTTGCAGAGTGATGTATGAGAGCCTGCTGGGGAGAGCCTGTCCCATGCCTCAAGCAGTGGGTATGAGCTTCCATCACGCCTTGCAGGACATCAAGCATTCTGCTGTCCCCCTGCAGGTTCCTCATGGGTGCATCCTGTGGTGGGGGCAACATGAAAGTGGATGATGTGGCCTATGAGAGCATGGGGCTCCGTCCACGCCATGCCTACTCCATCCTGGACGTGCGGGATGTCCAAGGCTTCAGGTGAGTTCAGGGCAGAGGCTGGCGAAATGCAGCACATGTCCTGGCAGCAGAAAACCCTGGGTACGAGTCTTCTTTCTCCTGAGTGTCTGACCCCACTGGTCCCTGTCCTTCAGGTTACTGCGGCTCCGAAACCCGTGGGGTCGCTTCTCTTGGAATGGCAGCTGGTCTGACGAGTGGCCCCACTGGCCTGCTCCCCTGCGCCACGACCTGATGCCCCATGGCAGCAGTGAGGGGGTCTTCTGGATGGAGTACAGCGACTTCATTAAGTACGGTAGCACCCAGGGTACAGAGGCAGTGAGGGTGGGAGCAGGCAATGTGACAGGGGGGACTGTGGGGCGAAACTGCCTCATTTAGGAATTTCTTTGCTCGGAGGAGGCGAAGCCCAAAAAACACAGAGCAACGGGCAGCACTGGAGCCCCAAGGCCCTTCCCCTCCTTTGCAGGGAGGATGAGAAAGGGAAAATGAGACACAGAGGCAAAATGGGGCAAGCATGGCCAGGCATCGCTCTCTGGGTGCAGGTGGTGCTGCAGGGCCTGCAGCTTTGGGCTGTGTGAGCTGCAGCATGCCGGGGAATGGGACAGAGCACTACACACCCAGAGGACCCCGCAGGCACTGAGCCAAACTTTCCCACAGGTATTTTGACTCCGTGGATATCTGCAAGCTCCATTCAGACTGGCACGAGGTGCGTGTGCAGGGCATGTTCCCCAACAAGGCCAATGGACCAGTGACAGTGACATCACTGACAGTGTTGGAGCGTGCTGCCCTGGAGTTTGCCCTCTTCCAGGAGGGCAGCAGGTGAGCTGGGGCAGTACAAGGCTGCAGAAAGTGACCAGAGCAGGGAGAAATGCTCAGGGCTGTCCCTATCATACCTCCTCTTCACCCTGTGCTATCCCTTGGGCTTGTAAAGCTCAGCAATGAGCATCCACTGAATCATAGAATGGCTTGGGTTGAAAAGGACCACAGTGATCATCCGGTTTGAACCCCCTGCTATGTGCAGGTCGCCAACCAGCAGACCAGGCTGCCCAGAGCCACATCCAGCCTGGCCTTGGATGCCTGCAGGGATGGGGCATCCACAGCCTCCTTGGGCAACCTGTTCCAGTGCCTCACCACCCTCTGGCTGAAAAACTTCCTCCTAATATCCAACCTAAACCTCCCCTGTCTCAGTTCAAAACCATTCCTCCTTGTCCTATCACTATCAATACATGTAAACAGCCGTTCCCCCTCCTGTTTATATGCTCCCTTCAAGTACTGGAAGGCCACAATGAGGTCTCCCCAGAGCCTTCTCTTTTCCAAGCTAAATGAGCCCAGTTCCCTCAACCTTTCCTCATAGGAGAGGTGCTCTGATCATCTTAATGGCCCTCCTCTGGACCTGCTCCAAGAGCTCCACATCCTTCCTGTGCTGGGAGCCCCAGGCCTGGACACAATACTGCAGATGGGGCCTCAGATTGGCATTTCTCTGATCCACATGGCTCGTGTTTCAGCCAGAACCCAAGCCTGAACACCGATTCCTGGAGCAGCCCCAAGTGCAGTGGAAGGACTGTGAACCCATGGCCTCTGCACTCTGTGGGGAAGCTCTCTGGTGACGTGTGACTCTTCTCCCCACCCTGGCACAGGCGGTCGGATGCTGTGGACAGCCACTTGCTGGATCTGTGCATCATGGTTTTCCGGGCTACCTTCACTAGTGGCAACAAGCTGAGCCTTGGCCGCTTGATGGCTCACAGCAAACGAGCTGTCAAGAAGTTCGTCAACTGCGACGTGATGCTGGAGCCGGGCGAGTACGCCGTGGTGTGCTGTGCCTTCAATCACTGGAGCGCTGCGCTGCCGGGCTCCACTGCTGCACAGGGTAAGGGGCTGCACGCCCTCCACGTGGCACTGCTGGGGGAGGCATTGCGGGAGGCAAAAGTGAGGTGCCCTCGATCCTCACTGTAGGAGATCTGCTGGGAATGGAGGTTGCCCGTGTGTGCAGCACCCTGGTGTTGAGGAGCGTGGGGGCGATCTCACCGATCTCCTTTTTCTCTGCATTGTCATCTCTGCAGCATCCAGTCCCACCAGCAGCCGGCCGGCCACCGATTACTCCAGCTACATCCTGGCCATCTACAGCTCCCGTCTGGTGATGGTGGAGCAGGTGGAGGCGCAGCCCACCACGCTGGCAGATGCCATCATCCTGCTGACTGAGAACAAGGGCGAACGCCATGAGGTGAGAGCAGTGGCACGGGGTGGGACAGCGATGCCATCAGGACTCTGCCTTCATCACATCCTCAGTCTGGCAGGAGCCAACCCGGCCCTGACTGCCCCCAGTCCCTCCCTGCCCATCTTTTTCGCTCCCTGGTGCAGCATGGGGTGCCTCATTGGTGGGCAGTGCTCAGAGGGTGATGCTGCACGTACACACAGGGTTCACACCTGCGAGGTTCACATCCCTGACCATGCCATTTGCTGCTGCAGGGCCGTGAAGGGATGACATGCTACTACTTGACGCACGGCTGGGCAGGGCTCATCGTGGTGGTGGAGAACCGGCACCCCAAATCCTACCTGCACGTCCAGTGTGACTGCACCGACAGCTTCAATGTCGTCTCCACGCGCGGCAGCCTCAAAACACAGGACAGCGTCCCTCCCCTGCACAGGTCTGGGGTAGGCAAGGGGGGGGAGGAGTGGGTCAGGTTGGGGCAGGAGGTGATGGCACCCCACGGGTGCCGGGCCAAGGCAGAGCCTGGGGTTGGGGGATTCACCACGTGGCTGAGCACTGAGCCCCACTCTCTCTGCAGGCAGGTGCTGGTGATCCTCTCCCAGCTGGAGGGTAACGCCGGCTTCTCCATCACCCACCGCCTGGCGCACCGCAAAGCCACCCAGGCCTTCCTCAACGACTGGATGTCCACAAAAGGCACCCACAACCCGCTGCTCACACCCGAGGTTGCCGGACTCCACGGACCCCGACCTCTATGACGAAGCGCCGCTCCTGCCCCGCTCCTCTCTCCCGTTGCTTTCACCGAGCCTCCAGCCCAGGGTTTCCCCCCGTGCTGCCAGCACTGAGCCGTGGGGCAGGGCCGGAGCGTGGCACCGAGCACTTTGCCCTGTGCCATGGGGCTGGGGCAAACTCTCAGGGCCGGGACCAGCTCTGCCCGCTGCCCCCCCCCCACGCACTTTACAAGGAGCAGTCGGGGGGCACGGGGCCATCTCAGGATCCCCCCCGCTTTGGGCACACAGCGTGGTAGCAGGGGGCTGCAGTAGACGTGGGGGCTGGAGGTTGCAGTCAGCGTCCTTCCCAGGCACCGCGCTCAGGGCTCTGCCCCGTCCTGCAGCACCAGGGCCCTGGTGCTCCAAGAAGAATATACCTCTGACGTCTGTCCATCTGTGTGACCCTCCGTCTTGTCTCCTCTGTTGTCTGCTGCCAGGACTGAGTGGGCACTGAGGTACTGCAGCTGCCGGGGTTGTCCCCACGTGTTGGGGCCAGGATGGAGAAGGCGCAGGGTTGTTGCAGAAAGCTGCTGCTGTTGGTTTTCACCACGCTTTGGGGCAAAACGAGGGCATAAACCTCAGCTCCAGAGCGGGGAGCAGTGCTGCGGGGTGCTGCTCCATCCCCCCCCAACCCATTGCAGTGTTACTATGCAAAGGCGGCCGCTGGAAGCAGCGCCTGGAGAGAAGCCATGCGTCCCCTCCCCGCGCCCTGCGGGGTGCACGGGGCAGTGGCACGGGGCACTGGGGACAGAGCTGGGCTCTGGGGAGCAGCTCCCGCAGTGTGGCTTTGCTGGGGAGAGGGGCAGTGATTCTGCAGGCCGATGGTGAGCCCCATCCATCGGAGGGACAGCAGTCAGCACAAGGCAAAGGCCAAGAGCTGTGGGGGGCCACTGGGGTTCCATGTTGGGGTGACCCTACGGCTGGCTGGCTGCACACAGCTGGGTGTGTGTGGTGTGTGTGAGGGTGTGTGTGTGTGTTCTGAGGGCACTGCTCTGGGGCAGCCTGCAGCAGTGGGGATGTGTGGGTGCGGGGTTTGTCCCTCTGTCCCTCCCGGCCCCGAGGGCTGGGGCTGCTGAGCCAAGCTCTGTCTGTGTGTCTGTTTGTTGCTCTGTTCTCTCTTCCCCCCGCACCTTCCTCCTCGGGATGATTTGTCCTTCACTTTTTCTCTCTGTCTTTCTGAGCTGTGAATATTTTTAACCCTGTAAATACTGTCCAGCTCTTAAGAAACATAGGATATTTTATCAATTGTAAATCAGATCAGTAATCCCTGTATGATATGAATTATCCATGGGTGGTTTTCAAACTCAGGTTCTGACGGACCAAATAAAGTTTTGTTTTTTACTGAAGTTGCCTGGTTTCACTGTGCTCTGGGGACACTGCAGAGGGGTGCTGGAGAGAGCCCAGTGGAGGGTACAGAGATTGGGGGGGCTGGAGCACATCCTGATGGGGACAGGCTGGGAGCCCTTGGGCTGTTCAGCTGGGGGAGAGAAAGGTGAAGGGGATCTGATCAATGTCTGAAAGGCGAGAGCCAAGCAGGTGGGGCCGGGCTCTTTTTTGGGGGTACCCAGCAACAGGGCAAGGGATGATGGGCACAGAATGAAACGTAGGAAGCTGCATATGGACGTGTCAGTACCAGAGCCCTGAAACAAGCTGCCCAGAGAGCTGGGACAGACGGGAGATGCTCCAACCTGCCGGGTCGCTTTCTTGTGCAACCTGCTGCAGGGAGCTGCTTTTGGGGGATGCAGTTGGACTGGGGGAGCTCCAGTGATGTACTACGGTACCGTGACTGATTTTAGGTGCCGGGCCGGCGGAGGGATGCCGAGGGACTGAAGTGGAGATATTCCATCACCGAACGACAGCGGCACAGCCGGAGCCGCAGCGGCCGGGAGGTGGCAGCCGCTGCCCGCGGTGCCGCTCCTACGGACCCGACGGCAGCGCTCCATCCGCAGCGCCGCACGGAGGTTGGGGGGCGAATGGGGGAGTGGGGACGGGGACGGGCACGGGGACGGCTCCTCCGTTGCGACCCCCACCGGGGCACGGCTCAGCTCCCCCCGCCCGGGGCCGAGGCCGGCTGGCGCGGAGCTTTCCGGCTGAGCGGAGGCGGCCGGCTGCGTGCCAACCCCATCTCGCCCCGGGTGGGCACCTTGAGAGACCAGTAGGGAGAGACAGAAGGAGAGGATTTCTGTCTTTCTTAAAGCAACTTGTAATAGATTTTCCGGGCGAAACATCTTTGCATTCAGGAGGCCCTGTCACAAACCATCAGCCTCAGCCGGGGAGAAACAGATGGGGAGTTAATTTTGGTGGGGAGGGCGGGGAGGGCACTGCCTCTCTCTTTTGCTCTCTCCTCTCTCAGTCTGTTCAGGGATGGAAACGTGATGGCAGAGGCAGGGTTTAACCCCTGCGTCCCCGCAGCCCCGCGCCCTGCCGGCAGCCCCGCGGTGGTGGCAGTGAGCGATGCAGTCACCCCAGGCGGGCGGCTCACGGTGAGCCCACACGGGCCAATGCGCTGGGGACAAATCCTGCCCTCCTGCCGTGCCGGCAGTGCCAGGACCACGGCGGTGGCACCCGCTGGCCCAGCAGCACTTCTCCTGCCGGGGGGACGGGTGGCATCAGCACAGCCCCTGCCGCAGAGCTGTAGGGTAACTGCGGCACCGGCTGCGTGCAGATGTGTTGCGCTGTGGGTGGGGATGGGGATGCGTACGGACGTGGATGTGGCACATCTCCCAGCAGCAGCTGTGGGGATGCAGTGACAGCAGCGATGCTGCCCGTGTCCCCGACCATCAGCACAGCCCTGCAGTGACTGAGTGATGTGGGACGGGGAGCAGCGGCTGCGGCGGGGTGGGAGGTGATGACTGCAGTAGTTAAGGGTTAGAATTAACTGCTTTACAATGGCGTATAATTGTGTGCCAAAAAGGTATCGTTGTGTTTGAATTAGCAGTTTCATAGCAGCGTGGTGCTTCTTTAACTATCCCTGTGGTCCCTTAAATCCTTCCCTTTAGTAAGAAGTTTTTCACCCAGAGGGTGGTGAGGCACTGGAACAGGTTGTCCAGGGAGGCTGCGAATGCCCCATCCCTGCAGGCATTCAAGGCCAGGCTGGATGTGGCTCTGGGCAGCCTGGGCTGCTGGTTGGTGACCCTGCACACAGCAGGGGGTTGGAACTGGATAAGCATTGTGGTCTTTTGCAACCCAGGCCATTTTATGACATTGGATCTATGAAATTAAATCAGTCATAAAGGGGGAGATGGGGGCCAGGCAGTGGAGCAGCTGGTAGCAAGGGAGACAGACAGTGGGATGTGAAGAGAAGAGCGGTGTCAGACCTGCAGATATGGCACGCAGTGCGTGTGACAAGGGGCAGCAAGGGGCTGCCCCATGGGGCTCTGCTGTGACCTCTTTGTGAGACCCCGACCCAGGGGATGTGGTTATGAATAGGCATGGAATGGGGACATTGGGGTGGGATGGGGCTGCCAACGTGGGATGGAGAGCAGCAGAGGGCACGGATCCCCCCCACATTGCCAGCTGCCAGCGCTGCCCACCACCCAGATGGCAGCTTTGTCTCCCCTGTCCACAGTTCCCAGGGCTGGAGCTGCTCTGGCATTTCCCATCTCACCAATGCCATCACCCGGCGGGATGAGCCCATCCTCCCTCACCTGCCAAACCCCGGGTGGGTCTTGCAGGTGAAGGTGAGGGTCCTTGCCGTGTCCCTACGTGCACAAGCACGGCCCTGGCTGCCCGTTATGCCCTACCAGCACTGCCAGCACTGCCGGCCCGTGGCTGCACTGCAGTTTGTGGGGTCCTGGCAGGGAGGGGGCATGCCGTGCTCGAGCGCTCTCCGTGATTCACTCTGACTATAATGGGAGCTGTTGGTGAATATTTTATGTCTCCCACAGGGCAGATAGAACATATTGTGCATTTTACGCCACAAATCTCCGCCTAGAGACAGAGAGAGGCTTAAAAAGAACATCATCACCAGCGCTGCGCGGGGGCGGAGGGGGCTGTACGGGGTTGGCACCGCTTCGGGGGCACGGCTGGGGCGTGCGGCTCCCGTCCTCGTCCTGTCCCTGTCCCTGTCTCCGTCGCCGTCCCCGTCGCGGGCGATGCGGTGCTGTGGGGTCTCCGCCGTTGCGCTGTGCGGTCGTTGCGGCTCTGCCCGCCCCGGGCTGGGCGCTGCTCTGCGGCTCTGCGGCGCAGCAAAGTGCTTTGCCCGCGGCTCCGTGCTGCAAGAGGAGCCGCTGCCCGCTTTGCCCGCGCCGGGACACTCCTCCCCTTCGTCAATAATGCAGCCCCTGCCCCGGTCCGCCCGCCGGCACTGCCCGCAATAATGGATCGGGGACGAGAGATGCTCCTGGCTCAGTCCAGCACCTCTGACTCCGCGCTCAGCGGCCTCGTCGCTGCCGGGAGCATCTCCGGCCAAGAGCAGCCGCCCCGCACCGCCCCGGCCGTGAGCCACGCGGCGGGTTGGGCGCTGCCTGCACCCCGACAGCCCGGCTGGGATGGGAATGGCAAACACCGACAGTCCTCAGTTGGGCAGTAAACTCCGCCCAAATTAAATGCAAACAGTGCTGCGGCGTTGGAGCTGGGCCATGGCTTTGGTGTGAGCCACAGTGGGGCTGGTGGGGGATGACGGGGACACGTGGTGCTGTGGGTGCTGGCACTGCATGGGTCCCCTGTGCCATTTTGGTCGCTTAGGCTCCCTATCCACTGCCCCAAGCGCAGGCACTGGCCGGCAGGCAGAAACCATTAGGGGTATTGCCGGCAGCTGCCTGCGCTGATGTGGCCTCGGTGGGACATGGGAGGCAGCTCAGAGCGTGGCAGCAGGGGGGAAGAGGACAAAGAAGCTGAGGATGATGAGGACCTGTGAGTGCTGAGCACTCCCGGCTCCCTCACTGCAGCACAATGTAGCACAAGGGCCTGATGTCGGGGACAGCCAGACCCTGGGATGTGGCTGTGCCAGCCCTGGGCACCCCCAAGCTCTGGGGCAGCCCCCAGCCCTGTAACACGGCCATACAGCACTCGTCTGTGACCCCCATATTCCCAGACCTGCTCTGCCCCTTTGCTGATGGCTGCATGAGGTGCCCCAGCATCTCCTTGGGGAGAGCAGAGCTGCACCCTGAGGATGGATGGGGCTGCGTGGGGGGGTCCTTATGGTCCTTCACTGCACTGCCATCTTGAAGCAGCGTTGCCCCAGCTGCATTCAGGACCATGAATAGTGCCCAGGGAAGCAGCACAGCATTGTTAGGGCCGTGCTGGGAGGAGAGCCCTGGCCGTGCCAAGCAGCTCCCAGTGCCTTCTGCCCATCTAGGCGTGGGGATGCCCTGGGACGGGGCCGGCTGGCACGGCTGGGCTGCAGCCACCGCATCGCCCGGGCTGTCACGGGCTGGGCTATCGAATCTGAAAGCAATTAAAGCCATCATCAGTGCTAGCTCGGGGCTGGCTCCAGGCTGCGGGGAAGCTGCCACAACAGATCATGCGCTCGATGCTGCTGGCCCGAGGACCCGGCTCAGCCCGCGCCTGCTCCCACCCGTGCCGTGGGGCAGCGCCCCACAAAACCCCGCTGCCATTCACAGCTCCTCACTGCCAGCACCAGTGGGTGTCCGGCCCTGGGACTGAGCCCATCTGGTCCCTGTGGGTGTCCCATCCCATGAGGATGTCACGTTGTCATGGCCACCCAAAGCCACACGAAGCTACCACCAGTACAGGCTCCGTGGCTGCAGGGCTCGGCACGGTGTGGGGGTGGCCGTGGGGTGGGTGCCCCAGGGGTTCTGGGGAAGGGCAATGTCCTCACTGCCCCCCAGCTGATAGGAGACACCCCAACAGCTCCTACCTGGGTTGGGGGCACTGAGGGGTGGTGAGGACGGAACCTCAGCCCCATGGAGCTGGGCAAACAAAGATGTGCTCCCCACCAGGTCCCCAGCATCCACCACACCAGGTCTGTTCCCCCCTCATGCATCTCCTTTCTCCCCCCCCCCCCCACTAAACAGTTAAGCAGAAGTTTGCTGGTACGG